TTTGGCTCAGAAGAGCTAAAAAGCTCACTTGAGCTTTCAGCTCAGGTGACCTAAAAACCAATATTAATCGGCAACTTTATGCAATTTACAGTGTTTAAACTTCAAAATATGACACATTGATGTGGTCTAAACAAGTACTGTAAATCACTTTTTATTCGCGAGAACTTTATTTTCGCGTAATTACGCGAGACGGTATACTCGTGAAAATTTCATTCTCGCGTAAAATAGAGTTCCTTAAGATTATATAGAGCAATGACCACAATTCGTGAAAATTTTGTCTCGCTAATAAAGAGTCAATGTCTATCTCGCGAAAATAAGGTGTCGCGAAAATTAAGTGATCTACAGTATTTCATTCTACATCAAAACTTGCATTTGAATTGTTCAGGTTTGATACGTGTTTCTGATCTGATAATTTTTTGATTATGTTCGTGATTTATTGGAGAATATTGTCCGCAGCATTTCTTTGATCTCAGCAACAATCACGGTAGAATAGTGAATACTGGCACTGGTTGTCTGCATACAAATGCACTTGCAAGTTCATGTTTTTTGAACAGCAACTGAATGTGCCAATATTCACCAATAAAGTTTAATAACTCTTTAAAGGTCAAATTCAAAGGAAATAGATATGCTTGTAACTGATTTATGTTGTAAATAAAAGAGGGAATTACAATATTCGTTTAATTTTAAACCTCATTGTTTTCTGTATTTACCTGTTTAAATATCACTAAAAATAACGTTCATTAATAGAGTTACTTCCCGTTTTTGTGACGTCATTCGAGACACTCGACGGAATCTAGTTATATATAAGTATAGTATATAACTACTCTTGATTATCTATTAGAATGGTAAATTTTAGGGAACATAAATGTTGATATACCAGGGTTACGTGTAGATCTTTCAATTAAGAATAGCTAGGCTTTGTATGTTTGAGCCAATCAAGGAAAAGCCGGTAAGGGTGAAAGTGGAAATGAAAATCATACAAACTTCTGACCAAGGATCATCTCAGAACCTAGCGAATGTACACAACTGATATTTAATCGCTTTTACTCATGATCAATCACTTAATACTACCGCAGAGATGTTTACAAAAAAAATGATTTCTGTATTGTTCCTCATACATAGATGGGACCAAGACTTTCACTCGTGAAAAATTATAGAATTCTTTTCTTTACATTTCATGGCTGTTTGAACAGGGGATACATGTACACCGGATTTTTTAATGTAAATTATACTTTGGTAAACAATGAACAGATCAATAGAATTTACTGCATCATCGGATATAAAGAACGAGGGCGCTTTTGATTGGCATTCGGCAGGAACCTGGGCGTAATTGAAAAGTGAAAATTTTATTGACATGTCACATGAAATTTTAAATTTTTTTTTTAATTTATCGGGTTCCTGTGCAACAGGAACGGAAAATATTTTCCCGAAATTAAGCTTTGATTTGCTAAAAAAATAACTTGAAAATTGGCCATATCAGACATTTGCTACAAAATTGTACATTTTGAAATACAATTTTCTAAAAATTTTCTATGTCTAGGTCTTCTCTCCATGATTTTGAAACGATATTTGTGTGTATTTTGATTCAAAGAAACGATTACACTTTTTTAAAAAATGGAGAGAAGACCCAGAGACCACGAAAAATGAACTTTCCCCCAAAAAATCCAAATGTGTCAATGTGGTGCGTCTTTGTCCTTTTAAAGGCATTTGTAAATATGTAGCGGTGATAGCTCAGAAAGTTAGGCTACCTGTTCAGTGCACTCGAAGCGAAAAGTTTTTGGTTCGAGCCTGGCATGGGGCGTTAATTTTTTTTTTATTCAGGCAAGCAACCATTTATTTTGTCAGGTTCGTTTTATGTACTGATGTATTAAAATTTTGAATTAGATAAATTTTGGTTCAGTTTGGTTCTCAAGCGAAATCAATTCTAATCTTCTATTTTATAATGTACATGTACGCGTATCATGCAATCTATGAATTAAATATATTTTACGTTTTATTTTTTGTGAAATATTACTATGTTATAGTACCCCCTAGAAAAAAATGGACATAAATGTTACAATTTCACAATGTCTTTCAAACTAAATGAAAAAAAAAAACCATGGACGTGTTTGTAAAATCTGACCAGGTATGTTCAGCCAACCAAATCATGGACATTAAAACCATAAATGTTTCGTACAAATGATTCCTGCAGATCACCCGCCAAATGCGCCCATCTTCTTTATCATCCGTGGGAATCCGAAGACCTTGCTATCACACTGGTGCTTTTTTTTTGGGGGGGGGGGGTCCCCTAACCACCCACCCTAGGTGTTTCGTACCCCAAGGATTCTTTGACATTTTAAGAATTAAATTTTTTTCTATGACATATCACAAAGGATTATACAAATGAACAATCCAAAATTTAAGCTTAACCTAGCCTTTTACTTCTATAAATATTCATACACTCTGATAATAAAACAGAACGTTCCGTTTCAGTATCAGAGGGCATGAATTTTCCCCGTCCCCAAACACCCGTGATAACTATACGTATGTCTGGAATCTTAATGCGTAACAAGGAATTTTTATTTGTCCACCCCTCTCGATCCTCCCGAAATGACATTTCTTTGTTTTGCCCCCAAATGGAAATTGCTTCCTACAGGCATGCTTTGTGTAAAATCTTTGTCATAAGGCGCTTTTATTAAAAAGAAAAATTTTAATATGAAGTTCTTCATCCTAATTTAGTTTATATGCTCTTTTGGTAACTATGTCAAGACGCCGGCCAAAGAGAAAAATACTGCAGAAAAACAAATGAAGTGGACAGTAAAATATGGAGGAACAATCACTTGTATGCATGAACACTGAAGTTTTTTTTTTTGTTTTGATAATATTATAATAGAAAAAAGTGCAACTGCATGGAAGTAAATAAACACATTCTTGAGAAAGTATTATCTGCGACGGACATTATACTTAACATTTATATATCCTGACAAGAAATGAAATCACCAACTCTGTACAAGTATATTATCCGAGGAAAATTGCCTTACAGGTACGAACTATAGGTGAGGGGGGTGCTCCCTGACTTTTTCATATAAATATTTTTTAAATTTTAATTTAAAAAGGAAATTTTCATGAAAGGTTTGTAACAACCCCTTTCCCGTTTTGTCACAGTAAGGTCATTTTCCTGCATCTCATTATACTAGTATTTCTTATATATAAGAAAAAGACTACCCCCTTCCATTTTATTATTTTGGGGGGGGGGGTAACATTTTTAATCAAGAATCGTTTTGGCTTGTCTATTACCCACCCACCCCCCCTTTTTTTATTCAGTCTGCTTCCCTTGCTCACCATATGCTTAACATTTATTTAGATTGTTTAAAAGAATATAACATTTATGTACACGATAAAAACATACAGATAGTTTTTTCTCCATCATTTTCTACTCTACGTACATTCATTGTACATCTCTCTTATCGCAGATTTCTCGGATGAGTATATAACCGCCTCGGTAACCTTCCGTCTTGTGTGCAGGCACCTGAAAAATGGTTGATGTACATCCACCACCCCCACCGAGATATTTTTGGACACGATAATCATTTCCTTGTCTATCATTTCAAATAATAATTTCCTTGTCTATCATACCAATACTTTGATATTTGATACGGTCCTTCGGATGAGACCGTATAAACCGAGGTCCCGTGTCGCTGTAGGTGCTGGCACGAAAAAGATCCCTTCTTGCTCAATGGCTCTGAGTGCCGAGCATAGGACAAATTTTTCAGCTTTCCGCCGGCAAATGATGGCGTCTTCATATGAGTGAAAAATAAATAAATAGACTCAATAAATCGATATTTGATTATTATCTTCCGTTTTCTGTCAAGTTTTAGAAATTGTTCTTTTACGGTTTATGAAAACTACAAGTACTTTTTATGGCTTTGACAGCATGCTAGAGGTAGTTTACGGCAAGATACATGTTTATTTGACTTGGCGCCGCGTACTACATGTATGTAAATATACCGAGAACATACTGTAAAGGGACAATCTCTATAACTTGACAAAAACGGAAAATATCAAATTATTTATGGTATTGGTATGTAGACGAGGAATTCATGTATATTGTCTTAGTTAAATTTTCGATAGGAGAGAGACGGCAAAATCTCAAGTGCCTGTCATCTTGTCTAGTACAGTACAGTACTGTAATTAAAATAATTAAAATAAAAATTTTAAAACCTTTCCCTTCAAACAGTATTGGGGCTTTAAAACCTAAACTGAGAAACTAAAATACGACTTAAATTTTGAAATAAACCCAAGAAATCCATCAGACATTTTATATTTAATTAAACTGTAGGCTAAACCAGCCACGTGGCATCATTTTTGAAAGGGGGATAGCCAGAGAAAAGTTTTAAAAGTTGACAAGCAACAAAAAAGGGGGTGGGGGAGAGAACTGCCCAAACTTGAAACCCTAGTAAGCGTAATGTTTGTGAAAAAATGGGGAGGCCCCCTCCGCACCCCCTCCCCTGTGGCTACGTGCCTGTAAACTGATCTATATAAAAATAATGGTCATATTTATTATTTATAGCTTTGCATGTTTATTGGGCTCAAAACCATGTCTCTTAGACTCTCAATTTAATATGAATACTAGTATTCTCCTCAATTTCAGGTTCGTAAACAATAAATAAATATACTCATATCTTGTCCCGAATTATTATTAAAGTTAAAAGCGCACATGACAGCATCTACCTCCATCTAGAGAACAATAATTTTCCAAACCCGTCAATATAGTATGCACTTCCTACTTCACATTGTCTCTAATGACGTCATGCAACAAGGGAGATAAGCGATTTACAATAAATGATCCACTTGTCACTCAGGTAAGTTTAAACGACATTTAGTGATGGAAATTGGTGACAAAAAATTAAACAGACCTCAGAATGTTATTCATATTGTTCCAGAGGCTGATAATAATGAATAATTATGAATTTTCACATAAATATTATATTTGACCTTTAATATGGAAAATCAGCTCTTACCCTTGGTTGCCATTAGTTTCTTTTGTTCATAATCTTCAATCAAAGAATAGGAATCTCCAACCAACTCAGCATTATTAGCTCTTAAATGTAAAAAGTTTTGATGAAAGCTCTCCATATCAACTGTGTTTATGTTCTCCATATTTACTTCTGTTGCAAGATTTTGAAGCTTATGAATTTCCTGTAAATTCTGTAACATCTGAATTTCATTCTGAAGAATTTGAAGATTCTGGAGTTCTATTCCACTTCTGGTGCAATTAACCTCCTCTGATGTTTTCATGGCATCTCTAGAGCTAATTAATAAATGTAGATGATTATCATTCAAGGGCAGAGAAAGAGAAAATTGTAATGAATGCATGCTTATAACTTTCATGATGTGATTACCAGGGTTTGACTTAAAAGTACATGTATATATATCTGACAGATGCAGTCAAGAAAATGAGTCTGATTAGAGCTTTTTCATAAGACCTAACGGATTACATTGTTTGTGACGTGCTGACGCTTTGCTTGTCGAGAACTTTACATACTACGTCACAATCTCAAGACCTTGTTTTTGTTCTGTATCTTTTTCCCTATTATTATAAAGGTCTTCCGTCTTCAGCGGAAGACCTTCTTGTTATTCTTAGGTTTCTTTTCCACTATTTTTATTAAGGTCTTCCGACTTCCTTCGGAAGACCTTACTGTTTTTCTTATGTTTCCTATTATTATTATGTCGCCCCGAACGAAGTCGGGGACGACATATTGATATTGTACGCATGTTTTTTTTATCCAGGCTGTTTCTCGGAGATGGCTGGGACAATCTTCCTGAAACTTTCCTCAAAGGACGATCACTGGTTGTAGTTGTGCAGTGAGGTTGTTCAGTTCCAATATGTCTACCGTTGCCATGGAAACCTGTAAAAAGCGACAAATTTTGTCCGAGAGTGTTCTCTCTGGTCCCTTAATCGTTCGTCATGAAACTTTTCTTATTTTAATGATTAGTATCTGTAGTTATGCAACTCGCATTTAAAATTTTCAAATAATCGATTATTGCCATGGAAACCAGGTGAAAGTCAAAATTATTTAATTTCGATTTTCTCAATAACTACGCAGGCAATCGTTTTGAAACTTTCAGTGTTTATTCCTTGCAATGTGTCAAAGTGATTTCTACTTTTAAAAAAATTGTAATGAGTCGCTCACAGTTGCCATAGAAACGAAACAGAAAAAAAGATTCAGATGTACACATGTGTTCTCCAAGGTCTAGGTCAAAGGGTCAAAGTTCTTGGTGTCCAATAAAAGTCCTTTTCACAAGGATTACATATTTGAAATACGAAAGCCCTAGCCCTTACCGTTCAAACGTAAGGTACTATGTTCAAGACACCCCCCCTTTTTGAAGCGCACTGCCAGGTAGAATACACAGATATAACATATACAATTTACAGGTAACGTTTTAAAAGTTTCATTCATAAAATTCAGTTCTCCTGAAGTGATTTGATAGTTTGCCAACAGTCATTCTTCTTCTGTCTTGTCTCTAGATTTTATAATTATTTTGTTTTTTCTATATAAAAAATAACGATTGTCAACTTCATTTATTAGCATTTTGCGTTGTTTGGTATATCTATTACTCGTATATTATTAATTTCATTAAATAGTGCAAGAATAAATTAGAAAAATTGGTACGTTATTTCCATAGTTTTTATTCATTCATAAATCTTTGGATCCGCTCCTATACAGGTGCGCTAAGCCTTGATCACTACTGTAAACAAAACATTCATCTCGCCGAAAATATTCATGATTCCGCTAAACTGAGAAAGTTTACACATGATTTATCATCTCATAAGAAACATCAGACCTGTACACTGCAGAAATGCTCGAATTGAAGGTGGCATGTCAGATTCGTTTTCCGGCAGAACCTCCAGAAATTAAAGTGAAAGTAGGGAATTTTCTGATTTATCACTGGCGTTTTAATACACAAAATAATTCGGCTGATCTTCTTAATAAATAATATTTGCCAAGCTTTTTTGGTAGGAAAGATACTGCCAATTAACAAGTATGAGGCTCAGTTCAGTACATCTGCCCAATTTCTTGTATGCAAGTCTGCAATTTTGGACTTGTAATTTTTTTCCTGCACTACTTTCTTCTCCTACAGATTCTACTCCTACAGATTCTAAAAATAATGAGTGGGATGTACCCAATTAAGGTCTTCCGTTTCTAACGGAAAGAACTGATCATACGACTGGATGGTTGTCAAAGCTTAGCTAATGGACCATTGTTTTAGTGATGATAAAAATGAAAGTCTTGTCCAATACGGGGCGACATATGCTATTGCTTGCAATAGCAGACTTTCTAGTTATTATTCCCTTTTCATAGTACACGTGATTTCTCGGAAACTACTTGACCGATTTCAAAGATTTTTTCAGGAATGATGCATTGTTATAATATCTCCACACCATTTTTTATTTTTTGCAAAATCACTTCCGGTCACATTTTTTGTCCGATTTTCTTTTTTTAAATTGCCATTTTGTCCAAGCAACTCCTTCTTAACCACTCAAGATTTAATCACAATATTTTTGGGGATGATAAAACATCTCTTTCAGTTATGCATGGCATCTTTTGATTTTGCATCCATCACTTCCGGTCGACACAGGAAGTGACATCAATTTTCGAGATTTTTTGAAAAATTTAACTGTTTTGAATAATGGCAAGTAAAACTTATGTTCATATTAACAATCGTCAACAAAACGCATCCATTTGAATAACTTCCGGTGTAAACCGGAAGTAGTCGTACAAAATTATCTTTAGGCATAACCTAATGAAAGAGTATACTGTAAATCAGGTTTTATTCGCGAGAACTTTATTTTCGCATAATTACACGAGACGGTGTGCTCGCAAAAATTTCATTCTCGCGTATAATAGAATTCCTTAAGATTATATAGAGCAAAGTCCACAATTCGTGAAAATTTTGTCTCGCTAATAAAGAGTCAATGACTATCTTGTGAAAATAAGGTGTCACAAAAATGAAGTGATCTACAGTAATCTGTCTAATGATTGCTTAGCATAACCATATGATAGTAAACTTTCTTTATCATATAGAGATATATTTTATTCACTTCACACAATAAAGAGTTAAAATAGTCTTAGATTTGCTGACAAGATTCTAATCATTTTTAACACAATGTAAAAATACAATGACATAAGGTATAATAGATTTCCGCCATCATGTAGTAAAGAATTGACAACATGTGCCAATTTTTTCACATCATTTAAAGAAATTCTGACATCATATTGTAGAGACTTGATATTGAATTCAAGGATTAATGAACTGTTTAGACCAAATAGTAGAGAGTGCAAATAACATACAACTGCAAGTATGAGTTGAAATGTTATAAGTATTTCTTTACAACCAGGAAAAGGCTTTTGACTAAATGTCATTAAGAGCTGATATAATGCAATGGAACGTTGACACAATGTAATTTACATGTGAGTAAATGTTGTAAAAAGTTAGCATAATGTAATGCAAAGTTGACTAGTGATGGGGAATTGGAAAAAAATCGGAATCAATTATGGGTAATAATCGGCTGGGCTGCAGGCATAATCGATTAATAATCGATCATAATCGAAATTTTGAACTTTTAATGAAATTAATATAGAAAAGTTTTAAAACTTATTCAGATTTCTGTCAGACTTTTACAAAAAAAAACATTTATTTACATAAAATATTCAAAAATAATAACTGAAATTTCTTTCTTTAAAAGTGGAAAATAATATTTTGTTTACTTTAAAACAATATAGGACAATTGAAACAGAATGGAAATTTATTATTATTTTTTTTTACAAAGTCCATGCAATGGGTATTTTACTGATATTAGTCCCACCTTTCATTTAATACATGTATCTATTTCTTAAAATTAGTTTTAATTAGTTAAAGTTGCAAGTTTTGAAAGTAATTATCCAGAAGTTAGACTTGTATTTATGATTATAATTATGTTTAAAGATTGACTAGACTAATTATGTTTTCCTTTATATAGTAAAACATTGCAATATTACCGTTTCCTGGTATTAGTCTAACCCCATATTTAATCACGGCGGTAAAAGTATCAACAAGGTACGAAATCCTTCCATGTTTTCAACATTCATCACTACTTTTATGCTCTTTGCACTTGGATTTGGGAATAAAATTAAAGTATGACAATTTTATTATACCCCCCGCTTGAAAAGCGGTAGGGTATATAGTAATCGTTAATTCCGTCCGTCCGTCCGTTATGCTTTGGGGTACCCATCTCTTATCCGCAACTCCTCTCATACCACTGAATGAAATTTGATGAAACTTTCATAGAATCTTTATTACATATTGCCATTGTGCACCTCCTATTTTCCTTTTTGATCCGACACATATTTTGGGTTTCCCGGCCACAGGAAAACATGGACTTTTTCACCAGTTATAACCATATGGGAGGCGGGGGGTATCATTTAGTGAGCTCATCGCTCACAGTACCTCTAGTTTTTTGTTAGCGATGTCCGCGACATTTATTTTATAATCGATTAGTAGCATTGAAGAGCTTCTAACGACCGACAATCGATTGTCGGCGACAATCGTTCCATCACTAAAGTTGACACAATGTAATTGTAGAGTGTGTTAATTATGTCAAAAACAGTTGACAATGTAATGAAAAGTTGACTCAATGCAATAATTATGTGAGTACTGTTTGTTTTCTTCATTCTAAGAAAAGATACACTTTATAACGTGACGTTCCGTTGTGATGCGGCGACACCCCATGCTCTATGTTTTAAACATTTATAAAACAAATTCAAATGAACATTATTAAATTAAAATTTGAATGTTTACTAGATTTATATTTGTGCATCTTTTGGTATATTGTATTTGATAATATGACGCCAAATATAAAAGATATGGACACTGTGACATTACTTTTGGATCAACCCTCATACTTGCACATTTAATCAAGTATGAGTGCAAATCAATAAAATCTTATAGTTTAAATTATTATATAGCAACAATAATGTTGGATACACATGGATCAGGGGTCTAGAATTACGCTTTCCCATTGCCCGGGGTGAGTAAAAATTTGTACAGGTAAGTACGATTGTGGGTCATGCTCACCTACCTGCCCGGGAAAGTAAAAATAAATGACAGTAAACACTTATGTTGTTGAAAGTTGTTCTTTTCACAAAGTTTGATTGAAAATTGATTGGTTTTAATTTATTTACTTAGCTAGCGAGTTGTGTGAAGTGGTATGAAGGTTTCCCGTCAAATGAAATGTACATTATCACTACTGGAAATACTTGTTTGCTGTAT